AACTATACACTGTTCTACAAACACATCACATTTTGAAGCTGCTAAACTGAAATATTCATGTCGATCCCCTACCTGGAGTGCTCTTTCCCTGCTCATCCACATAGAAAACTCTCAAGGTTTCTTCATGGATTAGGTCATATGGAACCTTCTCTGAGATCCCGCCAACATGGTCACTATATATATAGTGACTTTTGTTCCTTATCACAAAAAAAAAAATGCTGAGAGTACAATCCGAGATCAGGAGAAATAAGTCTGAATCTTGCTTATGAAACTTACTAGCCAAGCAACTGTGGTACCAGTTTGCAATATGATTTCTGAGAGTCCTAGCCTCCTACATACTTTAATACAGATGAAATAATTTATGAGAAAATTTGTTCCTTGTAAAATCCAATGTCAAAGTGCGAGCATCTGAGAAGGGAGGGTCTTCTATGATCATTCATAGTGAAAGATGGAAGAAACAAGGACAATACGGTTGCACAAAGTTGTGCACACAAACATGTACAAAGGGCTGGAGGGAAGGGAGGAAGAAAGGATGCAAGTGATTGAGCTCACAACCTCTAGTCCTTTTTAGTTGACACTAATCCACTCATGAGAGTGGTGCCCTCATGATCTAAATATCTCACATTAAGCTGGGCATGGTGACATATGTCTTTGATCCCAGCACTCAGGAAGGCAAGAGGCAGGCAGACTACTGTGAGTTCAAGGCCAGAACAGCCAAGGCTACACAGAGAAACCTGCCTGGAAAAAAAACAAAAACAAAACCAAACAAAACCCCCTCACATTAGGGTTCACATTCCTACATTGCTGCCCTGGAGATTTTAAGTTTCCAACACATGACTTGGAAGATACACAATCAAACAATAGCATCCTTGCATAATTCTTCCCGCATTATAGCCATGTGACCAAAAAGAAATGCAGAACACTTGGTATTCAGTTATAACAGTGCATCTTCAATCTTGGGCTCTACATTCCTTTCTTTGTTGGATTACTTGCTTTGAAGAAAGCTAACTGCCATATCCAACAACCTATAAAGCAATCTGAGTGAAGAACTGAGGCTTGAGCCAGCAAGATGGCTCAGCAGGCAAACATGCCTGCCACCAAGCCGGAGAAGCTGAGTTTGATACCCAAGAGCCCATGGTGGAAGGAAAGAACGGAATGCTGCAAACTGTCCTCAGACTTACATATGTACACACCTACACACACATACACACAATTTTCAAAACAAACAAGCCAGGCTTACCAGTAACTATTAAGTGAGCATGAAAGCAAGGTCTTCAACCCCAGAACTCCACTGGCCTTCACCCACAGTGAACACTTTCTCACAGCATTCTGAGCCCAATACTCCTAACCGAAGATGCAGTAGGCTATATAGCAAGTTCCAGGCCAGGGCAGGGATATAGTTCAGTTGGTAGAATGCTTGCCTACATGCACAAAGACCTGGGTTTGTTAAAGTTATTTTTTTTAAAGATGTATTTATTTATACATACGATGTGTTCTATTTTCATGTATGCCTGCATGACTAAGAAAGCATCAGATTGATGGTTGTGAGGCACCATGTCGGTACTGGGAATTAAATTCAGGACCTCTGGAAGAGCAGGCAGTGCTCTTAACTACTGAGCTAATTCTCCAGCCTTGTTAAAGTTATTTTTATAAAATTGTGTCTGTTTCTCAGTCTCTCTCTTAACCTTACTATCACTCAAATAATTGAGACTCTATGATTTGTTTATCAAGCTTCATGGCACAAATGAGCAAGTAATTATTGTATTCTTAACCCTCTAGGTTAGTCTGGCTTCCTCCCAGTATAAATCCCTGAGATATTTGCACTTTATGGCTTTTCTTTATCTAGCTCTTCTCCTGATCTCCCCTAGACCTCTACCGGTGGCTGAGTCATATTCCTCCTCGAACTCCTCTGCCCCTGGAGGGCAGTTCAGCCCTATTCTTTCCCCTGCTCAGTGGTTGGCTGTAAACTGTTTTATTGGCATTAACATGGTACAATTGGGGAGCAGTGTTTACACAACACTGAGATAGGAGCGTCTCAGAGCAAGGATTGCAACCAGATATGAAGGTACAGAAATCAGCACTTGAATTAATACAATAACCTTATGCCTACATGGGTTCATGCCTAGCACCATCTAGAACCAAACCTAGCAGCATATGTCATCTCAGCATTCAGTAAACGGAAGCAAAGGATCAGAAGCTCAGGGTCATCCTTAACTTCCTAGAAAATGCCAGCCTGGGATACATGAGAATCAGTTAAAATAAACTGTAGACCCATTAGAGGTCTTATACTAAAAATACGCAGTTGAAGTTTTTGTAGACTGCTAAACTACAGAAACTGTGAAATTAAGAATTTTCATCTTAAACTACAAAAATAGTCTAAATAATAGTCTAAAAAAATAACCCTGAGAAAAGCATTTAATCATCTAAGTCTCAGTTTCCTTAGAATTCCCTCTGTAGACTAAGCTGGCCTTGATCACATAGAAATCGGTCTGCTTCTGCCTCCCATGTGTTGGGATTAAAGACATGCATCACCATGACTGGCTTGTAAATAGCATATTTTAAAATTATAACATACCCAGGAATGGTGATACACAGCTGCAAAACCAGTACTTAAAGGCTGAAGCAGGAAGATCATAAGTTAGAGGGTAGCCTAGTTTACATAGCAAGTTCCAGGTTAGCTTGAGCTAAATAGCAACACTTTCTCAAAATAACAACACAAATTTTAAAAAATTGAAAAATGTAAAAAAAACAAAACAAAACAAAAACCATATGGTAGGGACCTAGAGAGATGCCTCAGAGGATAAAGGCATTTGACACCAAGCCTGAAAACTGAGTTCAATCCCAGGGACCTAGATGGTGGAATAATAATAATAATAATAATAATAATTATTATTATTATTATTATTATTATTATTATTATTATTATTATTAT